TGTATGTGTTGCTCACAACATGGACCAAGTGTGAAGGTTATAGGACAACTTGTGGGAGCCAGTTTTTTCCTTCCACCATGTAGGTCCTGGGTTTGAACTCATATCCTCAGGCTTGGTGACGAGCCCCTTTACCAAGGGGCCAACTCACCATCTCCCATTGGTCTATATGGTCTATATCAGTACATCTTTCTGGGCCAACTCCAGCCTAAGGCTCTGTACACAGTCACCTGTATCATGCCCAAAGATGAAGAAACATCTGAATTTTTCAAAAGATAAATAAGAAAAAAATGAACCTTGGAGCTATTCTTAAAAATATGTATATATTTTATTTTATGTGTATGAGTGTTTTGTCTGCATATATGTATGTGTACCCCACACATGCCTGGTGTCCATGGAGGCCTGAAGAGGGCACTAGATCCCCTAGAACTGGAATTACAGACAGTTGTGAGCCACCATGTGGATGCTGGGAATCAAACCCAGGTTCTCTGCAAGAACAAGTGCTCCTAAGTGATAACCAACAAGGGAGCCGCTGTTTCTGAAGGTATCCTTGCACTGTGTCTGCCGGCTGAGATCCTCTAAGCAAGAGCCCACGTTTGTAATACCTGACACGGGGCAGGGACAAAGCAGGCACATGGTTGAATTTACCCTGTGGTAAATGCTTCTATTTCTGGAAGCTTTGGGAAGAACAGAAACAATGTCCCCGTGCTGACTGGTCATGGAGACCCTCCAGACTGTCAGCTCTGTCATGAATGAACTCGAAGATGATCTGGATGTTGACAAATACGGCAGAGCTGTACTTTGGACTCTGTTTTACCTTGGGAGGCTGTGGACTTTTGACTATAGTGACTTCAGTTCAGATCCATTATTTCTAGTAAAGATTAACTCAGCCCTCCTCAGTTGAGGGCTGATTGATTTATCCTTTAGCGAAGTAGATGAGTGTAATCAAGATTGAGCACCTTCTGAGAGTGTGTCTATGTTTTATTATTATAACAAACCACCGAAGACTGAGTCCTTTATTTAGAAGAGAGGTTTCTTTATCTTAGGTTTTGTTTGTTTGTTTGGTTTTCAAGACAGGTTTTCTGTGTGTAATAGCCCTGGCTGTTCCAGGACTCGCTTTGTAGACCAGGCTGGTCTCAAACTCACTGAGATCCACCTGCCTTTGCTTCTGAAGTGCTGGGATTAAAGGTGTGCCACATCACCCAGTCCTATCTCACAGTTTTGGAGATTCAGGGATATATCAATGGTATGGGCTTAGCTCTGGCGAAGTTGTCGAGAAGGATGGTAACAGATGGTAACACAATGGGGGAAGAGAGGGGGGCGAGAATCATTAAGACAGGAGATGAGATTTTAAAAGAGAAAAGAGAGGCTGGAGAGATGCCTCAGTGGTTAAGAGCACTGGCTGCTCTTTCAGAGGAATGAAATTGAATTAAAATTTATGCCCTGGCAATGCATGGGTAGCCCGTATGTGGGGTGTTATGGTAAATATAAAATGGCGCCATTCCCCAACTGGCTGCAATGGGCAGTGGACCACAAGGAGCTGCGGTTTCCCAAGAGGCCCCACGAAGGCCAGCAGGTCCCAGGCAGGGAGCCGCCCTGCGGGTGAGAGAGATGGATAGGCACACCATGCAGAGAAAGTGGGTATTTATTTAGTGGGTTATGGAGGTGAAAGGGGAGAATGGAGAAGAAGAGAGAGAGAGAGAGAGGAGGGGGGAAGTGGAGAAGGAAGGGAGAGAGAGGGAGAGAGGCAGAAGCTGCCTCTTTGGGAGAGAGACTAAAAGGAAGGAACTCAGGCTGGAAGTGGAAGTGGATCTGCTTGCCTCAGTGGACAGGGAAGGGATGGGTGGGGCTTGTCTCTTAAAGGGACAGGACAGACCATTACATGGGGGTTCTGTTGAACTTGTCCATACTGGGTTTCATGGTCTAAGTCAATTTGATGAGTACAGCTGATCAGGTCTCTTCCTCAAGAGGGCGCCAGATTTCATTACAGATGGTTGTGAGCCACCATGTGGGTGCTGGGAATTGAACTCAGGTCCTCTGGAAGAGCAGGCAGTGCTCTTAATTGCTGAGCCATCTCTCTAGAGTTCTATTCCCAGCATCCATATAGTGGCTCATAATCATCCATTTCTGGGGGATCCAACACCCTCTTCTGGCCTCCCTGAGCACCAGGCAGACACACATGCAGGCAAACACCAGGCATAAAAACTTTAGAAAAAGAAATGAAAGGAGCCACCAACACAGGTCCCACTGCCTCATAATGCTGTCACACTGGGGAACAAGTTTCCAATGTGTGAACCTTTAGGAACACACATTTTTTAAAAAATGTACCTAATTATTTTACATCCTGACCACATTCTCCCCCCCCAGTCCCTTCCCCATTTGCCTCTTCCCCCTAATTGCCTCCTCTTCTGTCCCCATCCAGGAAAGGGCAGGGGAAACACATTTTAATCCAAATCAGTATCACACCATCAGAAGACACCTAAGATCGACGGCTGTGATAAATGCCGTGCCATTCGTGGCTTAACTAATCTTTATGTATGTGTAGCTGCTTGAACCATCCCCTTAGGAGACTTGGTAGAAGACCACAGGTTTTCCAGGCTTAGCAGTGCAGGTGGCTAATTCCAGCCTTCAGGAGCTGGAAGCAGCAGGAGGACCAAGAAAGAGTTCAAGGTCAGTCTCAGCTACTTAACAAGTTTCAGGCCACTTTATCTGACCAACAAAAGCAAAAACAGCCACAGCAAGATACCGTCAGCTGGGAGCTGGAGAGATGGCTCGGAGGTTAAGAGCAGTGACTGCTCTTCCAGAGGTCCTGAGTTCAATTCCCAGCAACCACATGGTGGCTCACAACCATCTGTAATGAGATCTGGTGCCCTCTTCTGGCCTGCAGCAAACATGTAGACAGAATACTGTATACATAATTAATAAATACATTTTTTTAAAAAAGAGATACCTTCAGCTGTGGAGGCTGAAGAAATGCCTCAGGAGCTAAAAGCAGACACTGCTCCCTAGAGGACCCGGGTTCAGAGGACCGCGTCAGGCGGCTATGGCTACAACTCCAGAGACTCTGGGGCCTCCTTTGGCCTCAGAAGCCACTCCACTCACATGCATGCGCACACATGGAATTGAAAATAAATTCTAAGAAAAGAGGAAGATGCCTCCGCAGGTAACGGCACTCGTCTCCAAGCCCGATGACAGATGTTTGATCCTCAGGCCATACATGGTGGAAAGGAAGCGCCAGCCCCTGCAAGTGGTCCTCTGCTATCCAAATGTGTGCCATGACGCTCACGAGCCTCGAAACACGTGGTACATAAAAATGCAATAGACTGTAAGAAAAAGAAAACACTCCACAACTTGCAGGGTAATGACTGACTTCCAACAACTTTTTCTAAGTGGCTTTAAGATAGCCCTTGGTTATCTTCCTGCTGACCGCAATGGATTTCTACCTCCTGCCCTAGACGTTAGCAGGCCTGCTCCCTACACTGTGGCATTGCAGGCGTCTTAGCTGACCTCTCAAATAGAGCACAGGTCTCCGCTTTCACTGTCAAACGAGAAATTATAATCGTGAGATAGGGCTTCTCTCGGCTGTGGGTAACACAGCCTCTCTAGAGGGTCCTTCTGCAGGAGAGCCCCGCAGACCCCCTGCTGAGAGTGAGTTTAGCAAATGAGCTGAGCCACAACCCATGTGGCTTGTAGATTCTCTGCGTGCCCGTATATCCGTCTTATAAACCTGCCGTGTGGCATTTACACAATCCCTTCTACCACAGCCATTTCTGTTGTTGTTGTTGTTGTTTGCGTCTTTGTTTTTCTAGAGACAGGATTTCTCTGTGTAACAGTCATGGCTGTCCTGAAACTTGTTTTGTAGGCCAGGCTGACCTCGAACCCACGGAGATCCGCCTGCCTCTGCCTCCTGAGTGCTAGGATTAAAGGAATGTGCTACCCTGCCTGACTCCCCCCCCCCACACACACACACCATTTTTATCAGGGGGCTTTTGACTTGATTTCCTCACCTGTTTACCTCAGCAGTAATGAAAACTCCACTACATAGTAATTCCAGAGAGGTGTTGGTCTGCCAATACAGGTTCCGACGGGCTCTGAATTTGACATTTTAGCCCAGAGCTTTCTCCGAGGTCAGGGAGACGACAGAGCACACAACCCATGAAGTTGTCTGTCCTCCACCTTGTCGTTATAAGATGTGTGGGGAAATGAGGAATAGCTGGGATTTTCAATCCAATAGCACGTTTATGAACTCATAAACCACCCTGTGTTATTCGGGTCCTGAATGATTTCAGCAAACCAGTTTGGCACTATAGAAAGAACAAAATCCCGATGTTGGCTACAGTGCCCCCTGGTGGTCATAAAGCCACATCACAGACAGCTCTGAATTAATGCCAGCTGCTGTGTTCAGGCAGGCCAGAGTTCTACCTTTTGACCCTGGGACAAGGCCTTGTCACCTACAAAACTCATGCTGCAAAACTGGGCAACTGACCCAAACCACCCCACTTTGTAATATTTGTAAGTGGGCTTATCGTTTTTGTGTTAGGCATTATTCATAGCTGTTGTGTACGTGTGAGGTGTCTATGCAGCCCACATCACTAGACAAGGGTTACAAATGTGCTAGGGCAATGCACGAAATATCATAAGCTTTGTTTAGACAAGAATTATGAAAAACAAAAAAATCCAAATTATAAAGAGTGAATACAAAAGAAAACTAATAAATGAAAACAAAAATTGCTAAAATTTATCTCCTTTACTCAAAATGTTTGAACTAATACTTAATAATTTTGATTAGCACTTAAATGGAGGCAAAGTAAAGAAATAATGAAGAGTCCAGAAGGGTTGGATGGCTCTGTATTCCAGACTTGACTCAGTGTACACTCCCTAGCTTGAAGCTGCCGGAGACGTAGATTCGCAAAGAATCCAGAGGTGGAGACGGTGTCCCTAAAATCCTGCCATGGGATGCGGTCCCCAAGCGCTTAGGTGATAACATACTCCTTTTGTCCCAGATGCTACAGAATCTGTCAGCCTCTGAGGGCCAGCTGGTTGTCTTTGAGTGCCGGGTCAAAGGAGCCCCGTCCCCGAAAGTCGAATGGTACCGAGAAGGAACCTTAATAGAAGACTCTCCAGACTTCAGGATCTTACAGAAGAGTAAGTGGATGCTTTTCTGAGTCTTGCCTTTTTAGACAGGTGTTTCATATAGGTTTGTTTTTGTGGGTTTTTTTTTAACAACAAATTAAATAGATAGTAGGAAACCAACATAAAGGGGCTAGGGAAAGGACCCAGCAGGTAAGAGCACTGGGTGTTCCTCCGGAAGACCCAGGTTCAATTCCCAGCTCCCACAAGGAAGTTTACAACTATCTGTAACTCCAATTCCAGGGGCTCCTACGCCCTCTTCAGGCCCCTGCACTGCAAGCTCAATGTACACAGACGTACCTCCGGGCAGAAACACCCATATGCACAAAAGAACTTTTCAAAAATTTTAAACTAACATAAAAATCACTTTAAGAATTATCTCCTAAGAATAAATTGTATTATTGTGTTGGTATATATTCTCCAAGATTTCTCCATACATATTTTTAATTTAAAAAGAGTCATATATACATATATATATATATATGTAATTGATTTTGCTTTTTGAGATGGGCTCTCACTGTGTAGCTCTAACTGACCTTGAGTTATGTAGACCAGGTTGGGCTTGAACTCACAGAGATTCATTCTCCTGCCTCTGCCTCCCAAGTGTTGGGACTAAAAACATGTTCCGCCATGCCCAACTATAACTGATTTTTTTCCACACAAAAGTTCATAGACATCTTTTCATATTAATATAGTTTTCTTACTTTTATTTCTTACTTTAAGGTTTAGTTACACATATGTATTGTGTGTGTGTCTGTATGTGTTGGACACATGTCCTACAGCATACCTGTGAGGGCGAGGACAACTTGCGGGCAGAGTTTTCCACTTCCACCATGCGTGTCCTGAGGATTGAGTCCAGGTGACCGACCATGGCGACAAGCGCTTTTACCCACTGAGCCATTTTGCCAGCCGTAATTATAATGGTTTTCTTTCTTACAGTAGTAAGGATTGAACCCAGGACCTTCTGAATGCCAGGCAAGAGCTCTACCTCTAATCTAGTCTAAGTCATGGGCTGGTGGGATGACTCTGTGGATAAGGGTGCCAGCCTTCAAGGCTGACAACTTGGCTTCAATCCCCAGACCTGTACAGTAGAGGACGTGAACTGACTTGGGAAGACTTTTCCTCTGACCTCCACATGCGTGGGGGCAGCAACAGTGGTCATTTGGCTCACCGTTTAGCTGAGAAAAGACAAGCATTTCCATAGTTCTGTGTATTGTGTAGAAGCAGATGTGCCGCAGATGCACAGTATTTGCTGAATGCCTACGATCGGATAGATGCCCGAGGAACACCTGTACTTAAGTGGTAGGCACTTGGAGGAAAACCAAACAATTGTAAGATGGTGAACTGGCCTTCCAGGGGTCTTTTACATGTCCTGAGGCTCTTATGCTTACAAGCTTATTGAAGGAAGAAGAAACATTTTAGAGTCACTGGAGGGCCCAGAGCCAAGAATTTCTCAGACATCACAAACTTTCTCCTAGGTGAAGCAGGAGATGGCTCAGCAGGTAGAGGCTCCCGCCTTCAAGCCTTAAGACCTGAGTTTGATCTCGGGTTCCACAGGATGGAAGGGAAAAGTCAAGTCCTGTAAACTGTCCTCTGACCTCCACATGATTGCTGTGGCTTGCACAAGATAGATAGACAGACAGATAGATAGATAGATAGATAGATAGATAGATAGATAGATAGATAGA